TTTTAGTGGGCTTTAAATTTTTGTCATTACATTTATTTACTTATTCCTGTGCTCTTGGAAGAAGATTTTGTTTCACTCTAAATCCTTGGTTCACTTTTGTAATAGGTTTTCTGTCCCCAATAATAGATTTCTCCGCCAACGCAGTAAGCCAAATCAAGCCGAATTGAAAAAGTATAACAACAGGTTTATTTGAGCAAAGAAACTCCCAGTCCCAGAGTTTGGGGCTGGCGGAGCTGCGCTCAGAAACGAAAGCAGGGAGACTCTATAGGTTGTAGGCAAGGGGTAATGATGTGTCTGCTACCAGCTGGGTTTGTGCCCAAGTATGGTGGAAGCTGAGCACTTTACGTGGGGGCTTGGGCAGCTGGCAACTTCAGGGGAGGAGGCTGCAGTAGCCGCCAAGAATGCAATGCTGAGTCTTTTGGCGCCTTTCCTTCTTTCAGAGCTCTCTGAACAGCTCTCTTTAGAGAGAGAGAGAGAGACAGGAGTAGGGCTTCCTGGATGGCGCTGGTGTAAGTTTTAGGCGTCCTGAAGGCCTCTCTGCCGACGCAGCAAACTGAATCAGACCAAATTAGAAAAGCGGGTGTATTGGGTAAAACATTCCTGGGTGATTCCCCCAGCCCCTCAGAGAGGGGACAAGGACACCTGGGATGCCGCTTGTTTGGTGGGCTCTGAAGGGGCCGGTTTAGGGAAAGAGATGGGGAGAGGAGCCGAGGTGGATCTTCCACCAGACTCCTTCCAAACATTCCAGACTCTTTGGGTGTAGGGATGCCAGGATGCCAGGGTTTGAGGTGGAGCTCCCACCCAAACAGCTGGGTGAGCTGGAGGTTCCAGCCGAACACTTGGTTCTCTTTAGTATCTTAAATGCATTGCTCCAGTCTTCGGGCATACGGCATTGTTTTTGAACGGGAGCCAGAGGGGCCAAGGACACCAGAAGAAAACCCACAGAAACAATGAACTTGGGCCCATAGGACCTCACAGAGACTGAACCTCCAACCAGAGAGCTTGCATGGGACTGATCTAGGCCCCCTGCACATGTTACAGTTGTGTATCTTAGTCTTTGTTAGTTCCCCCACAGCCCCCTGCCTCAGCTGCAGAGACTGTTCCGTCATCACCAAGTGCCAAGTGCCTTGCCACCATCACCTATGGACAGGTGCTATGCTAAGTCCAGTGATGATCTAGAATGTTTTCCTGTTGGCCACCCTGGCTTGCCATTCTTAGTATCCTGCCGGCTCTTCCAGCTCACAGTGCCAAGCCTGTTCTTTTGGGAAAGTGTTCTGAATCACCGCTTGTAGTACTTGTTCTGTTCCTTTTCTTTGCTCACCTTCTTCAGAATCACTGCCGTCTGTCTACTGTTACTGCTTCTTGGCTTTTGGTATTTTGGTGGTACTGGGATTAAACCCAGGGCTTTGCACATATTAGGTAAGCCCTCTAATGCAGAACCACATCGCCAGTCCTTGTTCGTTCTCAGTGCATGGAAATTATTTTTAGGAAGATAAAAAAAAAAACTATTAATAAATTTAACTGTAACATTGCAAGAGTTTTCTAAAAAGAAGTGTGTGTGTGTGTGTGTGTGTGTGTGTGTGCGCGCGCGCGCGCGCGCGTGCGCGCACGCGTGCACGTGCCAACATGCATGTGGGTGTTGCTGAGTCTTGCAGGGGTTGTGAGCCACCAGATTATGCTAGGAACTGAACTTCATTGTTCTGCAAGAGCACAAGTGCTCTTAGCCACTAAGTCACCTCTCCAGCCCCTACTGTATAATTCTGTTTCCTTTTATACTAACAAAAAAAATCTAGCCAGGCGGTGGTGGTGCATGCCTTTAATCCCAGCACTTGGGAGGCAGAGACAGGAGGATCTCTGTGAGTTTGAGGCCAGCCTGGTCTACAAAGGGAGTTCCAGGAAAGGCGCAAAGCTACACAGGGAAACTCTGTCTCGAAAAACCAAAAAAAAAAAAAAAAAAAAATCTGACAGCAATGGTGGTCCACACCTTTAATCCCAGCACTCAGGTGGCAGAGGCAGGCAGATCTCTGTGAGGTCAAGGCCAGCCTGGGCTACAAATTAAGTTCCAGGACAGTCAGAGCTGTTACACAGAGAGCCCCTGTCTTGGAAACAAAACAAAACAAAAAACCTTAGTTCTTAATGATAACAATCAAAATTCTTATTTGTTTTATCACCTATATAATGTGTCAAAGTTCTGAAATAATGTTAGTATCCTTGTCTTCTTAAAATACATGGTTTCTCATAGACCACGTTTGCTATGTAGCTGAGGATGACCTTGAACTTCTGCTTGGGCCTCTGCCTGCTGAGCTCTGGGGTTACAGGCTCTCACCACCACACTTGGTTTATGTAGCACTGAGGATCCAACTCAGAGCTTTGTGCTTGTTGGACAAACACTCTACCACATACATCTCTAGTCCCTGATTTTTTCTTTATGGTTTTAGATTTTTGTCCTCAGGATAGATCCCCAAAGAGATAAATAACCAAAATTTGTATTTGAAGTCACTTGAAATAACTCCATTTATGTGTTATGTTTATGCCATATCAGCTTGTTAGGTACTTAAGTCCCTTTTTGTGTTTGGTTTCAACTTTTACAGACTGCTTTTTAAACTTATTGTTTTTAACTCTACCTTTTAACTGTCTAAAACGTTCTATGGTTTTTTTCATCAAAACGGCTTTCAAACAGTTATATTCCAAGTTTATTTCATCCCCACACCTTCCCACCCAATAGAACACTTCAATCATTGGTGTCAGTGGCAGTATTCAGTGTTGCTACACCAGGAGGGGCTGGTGTGATTAATGCAGCTTCCCATGTAGGAAGAAGGAGGCATCCTTGACTGTGGGGGCCTCAGCTCACTTGGGAGACGAGTGTGGTTGTGAGGAGGGAGAAAGACAAGGAAATAGCAAGAAAGAAAAACAGAGAACATGTTAGTTAGGGTTTCTATTGCCGTGATGAAACACCGTGACCAAGGCAACTTGGGGAGGAAAGGGTTTATTTTAGCTTACAATTCCAGGTGACAGTCCATCACTGAGGGAAGTCAAGGCAGGAACTCAAACAGGCAGGGAACCTTGTGTTATAGCTCTGAAGGAAAAGGTATCCTTGTGGTCAGAAGCCGAGGAATACCTACAGCTGAGGAAGGACAGATATCCATCCCAACAGAAGTGTTACAGCTCTGTTCTGGTAGGGGACAGTCCCCCCCCCCCCCCCCCCCCCCCCCCCCCCCCCCCGGTCGTCGTCGTGGTGTCATGTCCCATCCCCACCCCCCAACCCCTCCAAAAGCCTTACAGTCCTTGCTCCGGGAAAGGTTTCCCTAATGCAAGTGTTAACAGCTCTGCTCCAGCAGGGGAGGGTTTCCCCAGTGAGGTGGTCACCACTCTGCCCCAGAGAAATGTTACAGCTCTGCTCAGCTTCCCCCGAATGTAACAGTTCTGCTCCAGCAAGGGAAAGTTTCCTCAGCCAAAGTGTTAAAAGTTCTGCTCTGCCCTTGCTCCGGCAGAGCTTTTACAGGTCTGCTCTGCTAAGGGAGTTTTCCACAGAAATGCAGCAGGTCTGCTGTGCTCCAGCGATAACTGTTAAATCCCTGCTCTGGAGAAAGAAAATCATTACAACAAGCCTCACTGGAGAGATATGTTGGGAGGGAGGAATCCAGGAGAGTGGCGGCCTTTGCCAGGGTGGAAAAAGGGCAGCCCTAAACTGAACAGGTACAGGACTTATATAGGGTTTCTTAGGGGTGGAGCTTTCCAAGGTGGAGCTTTTCAGTGTGGGAATTGCTAGGATCTCATTTACTGAGCTTGGGACAAGCTCAGAGATTGGCTGGACTTCAAGCTCTGGGATTTCAATTCCTGAGTTGGTTAGGGACAGGGTATGTTTCCTTGGCTCTGGTCTCAGGGCCAGGGTGTTCTTTCATTGGCCCTGTTTACCCTACAAGCCTACAGGCAAGAGCTGATGCAGAGGCCATAGAGGAGTGCTGCTTGCTCGTTTGCTCAGCCTGCTTTCTTATAGAACCCAGGACCACAAGCCCAGGGGTGTCACCATCCACAATGGGCCAGGCCCTCCCCCATTAATTACTAATTAAGAAAATGCCCTACAGCCAGATCTTATGGAGGCATTTTCTCAATTGAGGATCCCTCCTTTCAGATGACTCTAGCTTGTGTCCAGTTGACATAAAACGAGCCAGCACAGAACACTTCACAGGAATAACAAGGTTTCTTGAAGCTGTGAAGAACAGCATCAAAATCAAAACACCGAATTTTTAATTAGCTTAAAAGTTTAAAAAAAAAAAAGCAAAGCCAACACTGAATGAAATCAAGAGCGCTGTCTGTTGGCTGCTGATGTGTGTTCCAGACCTAGTCCGTGGGCTTGGCAGCTGCAGCCAACACTGTTGCTGCTCTGAGTGGGTTTGCCCCTTCCAATAAACCGGGAGGGGGCAGGTGAGGCTCTCACCAGATTTACTGTCTGCTTCCAAGACTGCCAAGACCTGTGGACACTGGGACAGATGCTGACTCTAAATATTTATGTCCTGCATCTTAGAAAGGAAGATCATTTTTTTTCTTCTAGCACCCTTTCCCCTGCTTTGAAAAAACAAAAGCCAGAGTTCTGCTCTCACTTTTCCCCACTTCTCAAGGTACATGCTATTCAGTATACAGTGGGGGAGAAAAGAGGATGGCCTTGGGACACTTTTCCTACTTTCTCTGATCCTCAGTTGTTTATTGTTCACCTTAAGGCAGGGTCTCCCTATGTCGCCCAGGCTGACCTTGAACTAGCCATGCTCCTGCCTCAGCCCCTCCAGTGTGGGGATTACAGATGTGCACCAATACACCCAACTTCCGAGCTTCAGCTCTCTGGTTTGAAAAAGAAGTGTGTGTATTCCACACACAGGGCTGGCTGTGAAGGTGTAAGGGTCAGTGAGTGTAAAGCCCATGGTATGAGGGCAGTACGCCATCGGGTCAGCCCGGAACTCCTACCATTACTAGCATTTCCTGGTTGTTTCCTTTTTGTTCCACAGGAAATCTGTGAGAATCCTCGATTTATCATTGGTGGAGCCAACAGGACTGACATCTGCCAAGGAGATCTAGGTAGGAAACTCCCTCCACCCATGTCCTGCCAGATGACCCAGGGCTAGTTAACAGGTGCACCCTCTATTCAAGATGGTAAGTGTGTGTGTGTGTGCGCGTGTGTGTGTGTGTGTGTGCGTGTGTGTACACCCACACACCATGGCACACCTGTGAAGGTCAGAGAACAACTTGTGTGGGACAGTGTTTTCCTTCTATGTAGGATCTGGAGGTCAAACTTGGGTCATCATACTAGACATCTCCACACTAAAAGTCTGTTGACGGAGATGGCGTTTGCCACGAGGAGAGGCCCAGGATCTGCTGGCCTGTCAGCTTGGCTGTTGCCCAGTCCTTCTTCTTCTACCACCTTCTGTTCTGGAAGCATCTTCCCCGGGGCAGACTGGGGGCAAGCTCTGTGAAGGGAAGTTGGAGAAATCATTGAAAGACAATTTAGAACTTGACCCCCCCCCCCCCGCAAAAAGGGGCAAGAACAGCTGAAAAGCATCAGCTTAGTTTGTTCCAGAAAGAGAGGCTGAGGACATCATGGGTGTTGGGGCTTCCAGCACCTGAGGGACACTGCCTGGAGAGTGTGGACAGACTGAACTCTGAGCCCTTCAAACCAGGACACTGCTTCCAAGGACGGGCTGGCCGATTCAAAGGAGGGAGAGAGGTGGCTTGGACACTTGTCAGCCTTTCCTTACCAGCAGGGTGGCAGCTAGCCTGAGTCCTGAGTAGACAGATGTGGGACTGTCAGGGCACCGGGTATGTTCCTTTGCCAGCCCCAGTGCCCCTTGTACCCTGGTCCTGGGGCAGTTAGATGATGCACATCTGCTTATTTGATGGCTCTCTGACACACGGTTTTTCTTAATGCCGGAAGGGAAAATGGGCTCACCCCGCAAAGACCCAGGGCAGCCATGATCACCCACTGCTCTGTCTCCAAGAAGGATGTGAGTCTCCTTTGTAAAAGGAGGTATCAGTTGACCTTAGGAAAACATCCCGTCCTGAGAGGATGAGAGAATGAGTTACCCTGTTCCTCACTCTCCTAGCCATGGCTCACACCTGGTGAGGGCAGACAGGAAGTAGGGCAGAGGGTGGCCTGAGCATCCAATTCTTCAGCAATGGGGAACTCCTGGCAGGGGCTGGGCCTTCTCTTCCCAGAGCGGCAGCCCCCACCTGACTAACTGGGTCTGTGTTTGCCTGCAGGGGACTGCTGGTTTCTGGCAGCCATTGCCTGCCTGACCCTGAATGAGCGGCTGCTTTTCCGAGTTATACCCCATGATCAAAGTTTCACTGAAAACTACGCGGGGATCTTCCATTTCCAGGTGGGCAAATGGGGATGTGGTTGAGATAACAGCCAGGTCTCAGATGATGCATTAAAGATAACCTCAGAGAAGGCCCGGAAATGTTCCACGTTGCATTAAGGAATGAAAACAAAGTAACTTTCTCTTGGGTTACTTTAACCAAGAGCCAGCCCACTTCTCCCTGTGTGTTCCGTCTGTTCTGTTTGCAGTCTGTGGTTACTGACCTGTCTGTAGTCTGTTTTGTTTTGTTTTCTTCCTTTCTTTCTTTCTTCCTTCCTTCCTCCTCCTCCTCCTCCTCCTCCTCCTCCTCCTCCTCCTCCTCCTCCTCCTCCTCCTCCTCCTCCTCCTCCTCCTCCTCCTTCTTCTGAGACAAGGTTTCTCTGTGTAGTTTTGGAGCCTTTCCTGGAACTTGCTCTGTAGACCAGGCTGACCTCGAGCTCACAGGGATCACCTGACTCTGCCTCCCGACTGCTGGGATTAAAGGCGTGCACCACTGGCTGGCGTAGTCTGTCTGTTGTATGTGTGATTAGTCTGTCCTTGTTGCCTGTGTGTGGTATCTGATGTATGTGTGTGTTGTCTGTCATACCTGTGTCTATTCTCATCTGTGCCTGTTGTATGTGTCTGTTGCCTGTGTGTGTGTGTGTGTGTGTGTGTGTGTGTGTGTGTGTGTGTGTCTGAATCTGTGCCTGTCTCTAACAGAGGTCTTTGTTTTGTATTTATTGAATAGCACAGAAAACATGGCATGGGAAAGGAATGAGAGATTCTTTGCAGTAATCTTGAACAGATTTTTACAAGGAAAGAAGTTACTTTACTGACCCCAAATCACCCAGAATAGCACTCAAAAACCACAAACCTTCTCTCCTATATCAACACGTTGCTTCCAACACTTATGGGATATTTGTTGGTTAATTGGCTGCTTTTGGTAAATGATTTCCACAGCATACATAATCTTGGGTCAGGGCATGGGAGAGTACATAATTTAAGATTAAAACTATGCATTAGCTTAGGTTGTAAAGGCTGATTGCATGGGAAATCCAAAGAATAATGAGGTTGGTTACGCTGTTCTCTTAAAGGCCAGTTAAACTTAAACAGGCCAAGTACAGAGTAGGACAGCAGGTTAAGTACATAGTCCTAAATGATCTCAAGGCATGTTATTAACTTGGCTGCAAGGCCCAGAAGAAGTTCAGTCTCTTTGGAGTCAAGAGATATTTTCAGAAAATTATATCACCACATAGCCCATCTACCCACCCCTGGTCTCCTGGCCTTGACCTCCCTCCCCATGGGTCCAGGAAAGGGTCCATACACCTACCTGTGGGCAGTGACCCCCTTGACTGCTATAAGCTTGTGAGGAAGCAGCTGTTTATCTGTGCCCGGACTTTACACACTTTCCACTGTGCCCCAGAAAGGGCGGGCGGGCAGGAGGAAGGCATCCTGTCTTCTGGCCTGTGTGTCTATTTTTGCCCTCCAGCTGGCTGGCTGGCTGCTATGTTATTGCCTGCAGCCCCCTCAAACAGGTTCTTAAGATGCCCGTTCTGAAAGTGGTGGGGTCCTTTGGGTTTTTACTGGGATCCCTGGTTCATGAACTGCAGCTCTTGTACTCTGTACCCTTGACAGTAGAATCTACACCAAGTCTATCACTTGCCTTTCTAGGCCTTGTAAGAAAAATCTAGTCTTCTGGGCATTTAGTTGCTAGTTTGACCCAGACCTGAAATTATTGGTTCTAGAATTAAAATATCCACTAGAACTTTTCTGGGGACTGATCATTTGGTAGAGAGACAAATTCTGAGCTGGAAAGGGGGAGCAGAGAAATACTTAAGTTAGCCCAACCTAACATCATGAGATCTCAATCCTGGGCACACACTGGAATCACTTGGGGTACATGAAAGTGCTTATAGCAGATCTGTCCCAGACCTCTAGGCAAAGGAGGAAAGTCTCAGGTCCAAAGATATTCACAGAGTGCCCAGAACTGGGCTGGGCTTTCGGCAGACACTAAGTGGTACATAGTTTCTGTCCTTGAGCAGCTCACAGTGTAGTTAGATTCACACACTCCAAAGCCAGCTTCAGGTGCAAAGCCTGGGTAATGGTATCTGAGGCTCAGAGCCGCAGGATGTGGACTCGGGTCAAGGCGGTCTATGAGTATGACTGTGCTTCTCACTTCTTACAGTTCTGGCGCTATGGAGACTGGGTAGATGTGGTTATTGATGACTGTCTGCCAACATACAACAATCAGCTGGTTTTCACCAAGTCCAACCACCGCAATGAGTTCTGGAGTGCTCTGCTGGAGAAGGCTTATGCTAAGTAAGACGACGGTTAGGATGGGAGACAAGACTACAGGTTGGGGATATGGATTTGAGGATTCAGCCAGAGGCTCACTCACGTTGGACCAGGCATGTGTATACATGCTCATGTGTAATGTTCAACTAAGACCCTGAGTCAGCCTCAGATCAGGTCCAGGCAGTAGGAGCCCTATCTGAAAAACAAAAAGTTAATGAGGAGAAACAAAGATGTGTGTTCTTTGATCCTGCCTTCCTGATGGTGCTTTGAATCTTGCATCTGCTCACTGCCTCTCCGGAGCTCAGCCAAGTTGTCTCTTACCTTAGACACTGCCTCTGCTGCTAGGTTTAGCAGAAGTGGAAGAGTGCCTTGAGGGAGTGGGGACAGTGTGGTGACAATGGTCCTGGCTCTCTGTGGCCTTGTGTTAAGTTAGCTGAAACTCCTAGAGTGTAGACTGACTTTTGTCCTCTCTCCAAGGCTCCACGGTTCCTATGAAGCCCTAAAAGGTGGGAACACCACAGAAGCCATGGAGGACTTCACAGGCGGGGTGACAGAGTTTTTTGAGATCAAGGATGCTCCCAGTGACATGTACAAGATCATGAGGAAAGCCATCGAGAGAGGGTCCCTCATGGGCTGCTCCATTGATGTAAGTCTGCTTCCCGGGAAGCCTTCTGCTTTTCACCACACACACAGCTTCCTTCTGGGGTCGGGTGAATGTTTCCTTTTAAGAAGCAAGAGCCAGATGGTGAGATGGCTCATTGCTAAGGGCACTTGCTGCTAAACCTGAGGTCCTAAGTTTGATCCTTGGGATCTGCATGGTAGAAAGAGAATGGTCTCCACAACGTGTCATTTGACTTCTGCGTGTATCCCACCCTACACTAAAGAAATGATTTTAAAAAATGAACTACCATGGGGCTGGAGAGGTGGCTCAGAGGTTAAAAGCACTGGCTAATCTTCCAGAGGACCTGAGTTCAATTCCCAGCAACCACATGGTGACTCACAACCATCTGTAATGAGATCTGGCGCCCTCTTCTGACTTGCAGGCATACATGCAGACAGAACACTGTACACATAATAAATAAATCTTTAAAAAAAAAATGAACTACCAGCAATTCCGGAAGTTTAGAAGTTGAGGCAGGAGGATTGTTATTTCTGGGTCAATCTGGGATCCCGCTTTAAAAAAAAAAAAAAAAAAAAAAGAGCATGAATGTTTCTTGACTTTAAAATTGGCAGTTTTTCAAGGGAAATGTATTCCTGGGGGTGAGGGGTAGTTCTCAATAAAAAGACTGAGCAATGACATTCCAAGCCCTAAAATTCAGTTAGAAATAGGTCTAGAGGCTCCTCTGACAGGCCTCTTGTGTCCGCACTGCTCAGCACAAGCATGTCCCCAAAGCCAGCCGTATCTCTGGCTGTGGACCGATGCCCACTGTTTCTCTTAGAAACGGCCAGGCGCTCGCTAGCCACGGAGCTTTGACCTCCCCTCAGTCCTTGGGCTGTGTGCTGATGTCTGGACCATCCCTGAGTCCCTCTCTCAGTGCATCAAGGTGACATGAGCTGAGACAGGAACGGGGAGAGGACCCGCCAAGGCCTGGTCTCCCCTAGGGCTGCTTTGGGACTAGCTGTCTGGGAAGCTCCATTTCAGAGGAAGGGGTGGGGCAAGGTAGCTCCTGCCTTTCTCTCCCAGCACTCCCTGTGGGTCGGAAGGCTTGGTTGTCAGTCATGCCACACAGGAGAGCATTCTCCCCTGTCACTCTCCGGCATCTTTTCTGCTCTTGTGCCCTGTTGATATCTATTTTGCTCTGTCTGTCACTCCCTTCTCCTCTGCCCCCCCCCCCCCCCCCCGTTTTCTCTCTCTCTCCCTTTCCTGGGTTCTCCACTTTCCTTCCCATCGGGCCTCAGGATGGTACGAACATGACTTACGGAACCTCTCCTTCCGGTCTGAACATGGGGGAGTTGATTGCGCGGATGGTGAGAAATATGGATAACTCGCTGCTCAGAGACTCAGACCTCGACCCCAGGGGCTCAGATGACAGACCGTCAAGGGTGTGTACATCTCCAGCTGTCAACACTGACCAGCACCCCCGACCTACGTGTCCCACCCTGAAGTCAACTCCCCAGAGTAGCCAGTGCCAACAGAACAGTCCCTGCCCCCCTTGTTCACTCTCCCATAGGAACGCAGGGCCCTGCCCTACAGGGCCTACATCCTCCTACCTGGAAGGCACACACGTTACTGAAGGACTCAGCCATACCAAAAAAAAAAAACCCAATAATAATAACACAGGAAAATTAATAGCCTATATTTTCACACCTAAAGATAACTGCCCAGCATTTGGTATATGGTCTTTCTGGGAACATACTTAAGCCATATTCTTGTCTTTAAAACTGTGTCTTATTATATGTTACATCTTTGCACCCTGCCTTTCCTTTTTCTTTCGTTTTTGGTCAGATTCATATTTTTTTAAATGTAACTAAGTATTCTTTTATATCATTTTAGTAGCTGCACAATATTCTCATGTGCATATATGTTGTAATTTACTTACTAATATTGTTATTGAAAAGTTAGGGTTTTTTTTAACGTCTGTTTTCAGAAGTGCTATAATAAGCATTTCAATAGAGACCTCTTTGTATATACCCACAATGGCTATAAGACCAAATCCCAACAGTAAAACTTCTGGGTCAAAATGATAAGCTGTGTAGAGCCAAAAGTCATCTCAGGTAGCCTCCGCCGAGGTATAGACATGGAGACCAGTGAGTGTTCTGCCCAAGTCTAGGTCAAATGAGGGATGAAATCTAAGAGACTAAAATACAGTTCCAGACTCTACACCTGCCACCCTGAAGAAGGCTTCAGGAATTCAAACCCACGTGGCTTTCAGAAGCTTCCCCAAAGCTGTTGTTATTAGGCCCCTGGTGCAGGGACCTGTGGAGCACTCAATGGCCCTTGCTAATCTACCCTTCTGCCGAAGAACCCTCCAGGCTACAACTTGAACTGAGACAGCTCTCCCTGTACTCAGGTGTAGTCATGTCGCAGCAGGGAACCGTCCTGTATTCCCAGTATTGGGAGTAGGGACAGGGTTTTCCTGACTTTCGTGTTCTAGGTAAACGTGAGGGAAGTGAGGTAATGTCAAGAGAAAAGTTTAGATCTATAGGTTTTATTTCTCAATTCCTTCTTTTGGGAATAGTCAACTCCGGGTGGGCTCAGGGGAAGGCAGATAGACCCCAGATGTCCCCTCTGCTCCTCTGAGGGGGTCTGGAAAGGAGGGACAAATCCTTTCACTCACCTTCTGTTCCAGTACCCACCTTGCTCTCTGGCCATCAGGGCAGCGTGATGAGCTAGGAGTCTGAGGCTGCATCTTCCTACTGCTCTTAGAAAACCAGTGAGGGTCTGATCCTGGCCATAAGGCGTCCTAGCAGGGAAGTGAGCCATCCTCAGTCTGAGATAACTCAGAGATGAGCCAATATGAACCCTTGTCTCTGAGCGATGGAACTTCTTCCCCCAACTCCTGACAGGCTGTCTGGTTATTGCTCTACAGACGATTGTTCCTGTGCAGTATGAAACAAGAATGGCCTGTGGGCTGGTGAAAGGTCATGCCTATTCAGTCACTGGGCTGGAGGAGGTGAGTCGTGTAGAGTCTGGCGGGGTGTAGAAACACAGCTGAGTTGATCTCCGAAAGTCAGGACTTAAATTTCTGTACCTCCTTCATCACTCAAAGAGCTTGCCAGTTGTAGACAGAAGATTTCCTGTGTCCCGGCCTGCCGGTGGTGAGGAAAAATCTCTCCTACTAGCGTTCCCCCAAGTAAACACACAGAGGCTTATATTATGTGGGGTTTCTGAAGTTTCCTGGGTCATTTCCCAGGCAGGAACATTGTGAGGCTGTAACATGCAGTGGGGCATATTTATCCCCCCACTGCATGTGACTGGAGACCTGGGCATCTTTTTCTAATTGGTCCATCTAGACCAGGCATCTGGACTTTAGCCAACAGGAGCCTTTTTAAAAACCCACACAGTGGGCTGGTGAGGTGACTCAGTTGGTCAAAGCACTTATTGAGCAAGCTGAAGACTTGAGTTCAAACCTGGAACCCACGATAGAAGGAGAGGACTGACTCCAGAAAGTTGTCCTCTGATGCACTCGTGTGCGCTGAGACACAGGCACACCTCCTCACATCACACACATATGTGCACACACGTGCACCCACGCACACATACTAAAAATAGGAGCTGGAAAGGTGGCTCCGCACTTATTTATAAGTAAAGAGCACTTATTGCTCTTCCAGAGGACCTGGGTGTGGTTCCCGGTGCCATCAGGCAGCGCACGCCGTCTCTAACTCCAGTTCCGGGGACCTGACAGCCTCTGGCCTGCTCAGGCACCCGCAGGCATGTGGTGCACATAACTCATACATCCACATAAAGAACAATAATAATAAAAGGGAAATAAAGGAAAACCCACACAGAAATACTTATTATATTTCTAGAGCCTCACCATAGATGCTTATCCCTGCCACCAACACATACCCTGTCAGCAAGCTTCTGGTTTGTCCACCAGGCCAGGGCCAGGCAGGCAGCTCTCACACTGGATTCTCTCAGCTTCCACCCCAGCCCTCAGAGCAAGTCAGACACCCCATCTTTCCAAACTTGCTCCAGAGCTTCAGAGCGTTGTCTCTTTGCCCCAGGCCCTGTTCAAAGGCGAGAAGGTAAAGCTGGTGCGGCTGCGGAATCCCTGGGGCCAGGTGGAGTGGAACGGCTCTTGGAGTGATGGGTAGGTGAGGCAGACCACGGAGCCACAGAGCCTGAGGCCACGCGGGGCTGGGTACCAAACCATGAAAGTACTGTTGGTGCTGGTGCAACATCACCCCCAAACCAATGGCCTGCAGAGAAGAGTACAGGTGTGGGCTCCCCAAAAGGGCTGGAGGTGGAGGTGGGAACAGGGACTCCGTGAGCATAATGATGATCATAGACTTGAAAGGAAGGATTTTGGGGTGGGGGTTCAAGACAGGGTTTCTCTGTATAGTCCTGGCTGTCCTGGAACTTACTCTGTAGACCAGGATGTCTTCGAACTCAAGAGATCCACCTTCCTCTGCCTCCCGAGTGCTGGAATTAAAGGTATGTGTACCACTACTGCCCAGCAAATGGAATGATTCTAGAAGAGTCTCAGTGCAGGGTTCTGGGCTAAACAGGCAATTTCCTTCTTAGTATCTCTTTGCCTCTTCTGTAAAATGGAAGCAGTACCAGCCCTTCTGGTGGCTCTTATGAGGAGTATATGAGACAGCCGGGGAAAGTGCTTAACTGAGACTAAGATACCCTCTCCTTTGATGTCCATGTATGAAGTCCCAAAAGTCCTGTGAAAGATTTTTTTTTTTCTTTTCAAGACAGAGTTTCTCCATGTAGTTTTGGTGCCTATCCTGGATCTCGCTCTATAGACCAGGCTGGCCTCCAACTCACAGAGATCCTCCTGCCTCTGCCTCCCAGAATGCTGGGATTAAAGGCGTGCGCCACCACCACCCAGCCTGTGAAAGAATTTTACTGCTTACCTCTGAAAAGACTAAAGACAAGACAAGACAACCACCTGAGGAGTCATCAGAGGCTCCAGAACTTTACAGCCCTTCTGGGTTCTCTCAGTCACTGAAGCCAGGTTGTCCCTTCTAAATGACAGGCAGCCCCTTGTGCGTGAACAGTAAGACTCAACAGTGGCCACACCCATACCCAGGCCCTGTATGGCTCTGTTCTGACAGACTTCGACACATACCGTAGCAGTATACCGTTACTCCAGATTCTGTCAGCCGCACGTTCATTCGCTTAGCAAGCATTTATTGATCACCTACTAACTAGGAGGCAGAAAGCTAAGCTCTTAGGCTAGTCTGTGAGTAAGTCACCTCTCAGTAGACCCACAAGATGCTGATTGTGAACTTGCTGCCTCCTACATTCATGTCATTCCGATCCCTTCACTCATCCAAGTGGCAATTCCTTTCTTGGAACTGACGGTATGCTCCTAGGGACGTAGAGAGGAATGCGGAAGCACAGACTTGTTCCTGTGGTTTCAGGTTCAGTGGCGGGATCACAAAGATAGAGCCCTTCATACTTTAGGTGGGGTGGGTTACTTGGGGGTAGTGCTGCATGAACTCTGTGCTGTGGGAGCTTTAGGTGGGGTGAGTTACTTGGGGGTAGTGCTGCGTGAACTCTGTGCTGTGGGAGCTTTAGGTGGGGTGGGTTACTTGGGGGTAGTGCTATGTGAACTCTGTGCTGTGGGAGCTTTAGGTGGGGTGGGTTACTTGGGGGTAGTGCTGCGTGAACTCTGTGCTGTGGGAGCCCTCGTATCCCATTATTGTCTCTTCCACTAGTCCAAGTCACCCACAATGACCTTGCTGTGTTTTCCAGACTAACCCGGTGCCTTAACACACTTCCTACTGACTCCTCTCTTGCAGGAGCTGCTGAATGGGGGGTCATGTCTCCCAGAAATCTCCACTTTGGTTTCATGGCACCCCAACTCCAAGCATACCCTGAAACCCATTTAGCTTAATTCTTTTTTTTCTTTCTTTTCTTTTTTTTTTTTTTAAGATTTATTTATTTATTATGTATACAGCATATGTGACTGCAGGCCAGAGGAGGGCACCAGATCTCATTACAGATGGTTGTGAGCCACCATGTGGTTGCTGGGAATTGAACTCAGGACCTCTGGAAGAGCAATCAGTTCTCTTAACCTCTGAGCCATCTCTCCAGCCCTTAGCTTAATTCTAATTCAGAGAGCCTGAGGCACAAATGTGCTTACTACTTCTCCCTGGAAGAGAAATTGTAAAAGCATCCAGTCTTAGAAACAGTGCCATGCTGTTTCCTGGATGGAAAGAAGAGCCGTTTACGTGCTGGATCTTTTCTTAGTTTTGATGAGTTATTTCATGAACTCACCATAGTTCCTGGGTAGATGATGCAATATTTCCCTTTGGTAACTGAGGAAGTCGAAGCTGACAGACAGATCAAGTGACCTATCTAAGGACACAGCTGTCTGTTATCGAAGGAGAATCCTGGTTTGCCTATTTGCAGAATCGAGCTCTTCATGAGGAGGCCCAAAGATTCAGCCAGAGACAGTGAAGTGCTTGTGAACCCCTTTGGCAGGAAATGATTATAGGCCTTTCCACTGGGGGGAGCAGGTTGGAGCTGCATTTTGATGGCTCATACTGACTGTGATCTGGATGCGGGCCTCTCCAACTTAGTATTTCTCTGTTCCTCTGTCCCAGCCCACATTAGGCCTCCCCTTCTTCCTCCTCCTTCCTTAATCCCTCCATTTTCCTCTCAGTTGGAAGGACTGGAGCTTTGTGGACAAAGATGAGAAGACCCGTCTGCAGCACCAGGTCACTGAGGATGGAGAGTTCTGGTAAGTTCATGACCCAGGCAGGGAGGTGAAACCTCAGTTCCCAATCAGAAGCCACCAGGTTCCATCTGGACCCTGTTTTCCCACTCAAGCTCAAGGCCCAGCAAAGATGAGGTTCTGAAAAGAGATTGCCGGGTCCTAGCGATGACTGAGCTCAAACCCAGGCCAGCACACGGCAGCTCTTGTTCCAGCCACCCTGTGCGCTGGCTCTGACACAGCTCTCTTCTGAGTGGAGAGGCTTTTCTTACCTGATGCCCAGGACCACCCTTATTCTGCTCGTGAAAGCCTTCTGAGTATCAGCTGACAGGAATGTCCCTTACAAGTCCTATGGTTCCCTTGGGACCCAGATGCATTTATTTGTGATGTCATTAGCCTTAAAAATATCTTTCCCCAAGTGACAGCTCTTTCCCCTGTGCCAAAAATGTGCCTGGCAATGGTGAAACACACAGTAACATTTTGGAGAATGATTTTCCAGCCGGCTCTCTCTCATCATAGACAAATGAGGAGTCATTACTGTAAGAAATGGTGATAATTTGGGGTTGCTATGTCAGAAATGGTGGTGCCAGGCACACACCTGTAAGTCCATCACTTGGTAGACAGGCAGGAAGATCGAAAGTTCAAGGTCAACCTAGACTACACCATGAAATCCTCTCTCAAAAGCAAATGAGCAAACAAATGACAATGTCAGGGTCTTCTGGGGACTTTATTGGGCTGTATTATCTCTTGAATCTTCCCTTCTCCAGCCTGTGTGAGTCTTTCCTCTTTCCACCTTCCAGGATGTCCTATGACGACTTTGTCTACCATTTCACAAAGCTGGAGATCTGTAACCTCACAGCTGACGCCCTGGAGTCTGACAAACTACAGACCTGGACCGTGTCTGTGAATGAGGGCCGCTGGGTGAGGGGATGTTCTGCCGGCGGCTGCCGCAACTTCCCAGGTAGGAGACACTTGGGATGGGGGAGGGCCCTGGGCACTACTCATTCCAGGCAGAATACTATTAACTGTCATTTACTGAGTCTGTCCTAAGCTTAAGGCATGCACTATCTCATTAGATCCTCCTCATTTAAGGAAGGAAACAGCCCTGCTGAGGAATCTCCAATAGGGAGCTGGTAGCAACTCCCTGGTACATTTGCTGCCAGCAAAGGCTGAAGCAGGAAACTGTCGGAATGCCATGCCAATCCTGTTGAAGGTGTACTTGAGGATACTACAGTCGTCCATGGCAGAAATGCTGAGAGCCTGACCAGTCAGTGGCTTCAGAGATGGAGGGGAGAATTCAGATTTAGGGAAGGAATAATGAATGATACCAAGGGCCCCAGAACAATGACCCAAGTGGATGAGTCAATATTGTAACAAAAGTGGGTGTGTTGTTTTTGATGTGGTTGGTTGTGAACATATAGATAAAGGACTTCAGTTGATGTCATGAAAAGTTTGAGGTACCCATTGACTATCAAGGCAAAGATTTGTAATAGAGAATTGAAGTCATCTGCATTTTAGAGTAGACTTGGCTATATGATAAAATCTCAATGAAGAGGATAGAGAGAGATGATTCAGCATATAAAGAGCTTGCCTGATCAAGAGAGTCTGGGTCCCCAGAACCCACATAAAAGTCAGGCATAGTAAGTAGTGTGTCCATAATCCCAACGATCTACAGTAATATGGGAAATGGAAACAAGAGAATTCCCAGAAGCTTAGACCTTGAAACAAGGTGGAAGGAGAGGGCTGAAGCTCAAGATTGCCCTTTGACCTCCATGCCTATGCCATGGCATGCATGCACCTGCTTTCATACACAAACACACATACATCATATACACACAACACTCATAGTGTTTTATGATGAAAATAAAAGTAAATAAATGAGAGGAAATGGATGGGTAGAAAGAGGGAAGTTAGACAAGAAACTGAGCTAAGATATGTAGCTGAGGTGTCCTTGGAATGTAGGGGTCAGTTAGAAAGTAGAAGTCATGCCTAGCAGTGGTGGCACACACCTTTAATCCCAGCACTCAGAAGGCAGCAGCAGGCAGATGTCTGAGTTTGAGGCCAGCCTGGTCTACAGAGTGAGTTCCAGGACAGCCAGGACTACACAGAAAAACCCTGTCTTGTTAGAAGAAGGAGGAGGATAAGGAGGGGGTAGGGGAAGGAGGGGGAGAGGGAGGAGAAAGAAGTCTCTCTCTCTCTCTCTCTCTCTCTCTCTCTCTCTCTCTCTCTCTCTCTCTCTCTCTCTGACACACAGTGGGGCAGTCAGATGACAAGGGAAATGGGATGGGTGGAACCAGAGGAGACGCATAAAGCCAGACCCAAGAGACCAATGGCGCTTAAGGAGTAGGTTGAAATAGTGAAGCTGTCGGCAAAGACGACGGAAGTTCAGAAAGGAGGAGGCACGGGATTACTGCACATCCAGGCCAGGCCATGCCGCCTGCAGATGGGTTAGCTTCGTTAGGGTTGGGGTTGCTATGGTGAAATGCCATGATCAAAGCAAGTTGGGGAGGACAGGGTTTATTTGGCCTTTCACATCATTGTTCATCACCAAAGGAAGTCAGGCAGCAACTCAGGCAGGGCAGGAACCCAGGAGCACGAGCTGGTGCAGAGGCCATGGAGGGGCGCTGCCTAGTTGGCCTGCTTCCCACGGCTTGCTCAGCCAGCTTTCTTATAGAGCCTAGTCCTACAGGCTTGCCTGCTTACAGCCTGATCTTATGGAGGCATTTTCTCAGTTGAGGCTCCCTCCCCTCTGATGACTCTAGGTTGTGTCAAGTTGACATAAAACTAGCCAGCCCAAAGGGGAGAGGTTCCCACTCACCAATAATTAGACAAATGCTTGAATCACGCTTTCCATAAATATTTGTCAAGCATCCAGGCACAGGGTACCTTAGAGTTGTCTAGAGCGGGGAGCAGGCCTCTTAAACATTTCTACATGTAACTTCTTTTCAATGAGGAATTTTGTTTGTTTTTTGTCTTTCGAGACAGGGTTTCTCTGTGTAGCCCTGGCTGTCCCAGAACTCACTCTGTAGACCAGGCTGGCCTTGAATTCAGAGATCCACCTGCCTCTATCTCCTGAGTGCTGGGATTAAAGGCATGTGCCACCACTGCCCGGCTCAATGAGGAATTTTTACACAACCCTCGGTATATAGGTGATAAAATAGGTATGTAAGTCAAACTGATAATAAGTCATTCAGAAGTTTGTTTGGGAGAGTGGGGATGTAACACAGTTGACAGTGTGCTTGCCTAGCACTTATGAAGTCCTGAGTTCAATCCCCCCACACAGAATAAAGCTGGTGTGGAGACACATGCCTGCCATCCCAGCACTCAGGAGGCAGAGTCAGGAGAACTGTCTCAAAAAAATTAAAAGAAAATAAACTTATTTAATTTTAAAACAATTGGCTAGTGCACATATAAGTTTACCACTTATTAAAGACAAAACCAAATTTGTATGTTAATGAGGTAGATGTATTTATTTACTTTTACACAAAGATTTAAATCTTGCTGAATATTAGAGATGGTAGGACACAGAGCATCTTCAATTTTTTTTTTTTTTGGAATTGATGGATATTTTTTGATGTTATAATTGTCAATCTTGAGAATTCCATTTATAGAAGCAAGTAGCACAAAATGGCAGCAGTAACTTTAGGGCCATTTCATAAATGTCTGGGAATTCTGTCTTAATTCTAAGTCAAAATGCATTTAATGGGGACTGGAGAGATGGCTCAGTGGTAAAGAGCACTTACTGCTCTTGCAGAGGACCAGGGTTCGGTTTCCCAGCACCCATATGGCGGTCCTTGTTTGAACTCCATAGGCACCAGGCACGCACATGCTACACATATCAATAAAAATCTTTAAACGACCCCTCACAAAGGGGACCTAGGAGTCAGGTTCCCTGCCTCATTATCCTTCCTGCCCTTTCTCCATATCTGAACATGCATTTCTGTAGCTAGAGTTTTCCTGCCTGGCCCACAGTCAGAACAAATCTCTCTCACCTGCCAGTTCCACAGCCGCTCAAACCTGACCAAGTAAACACAGAGACTTATATTGGTTACAAACTGTATGGCCATGGCAGGCTTCTTGCTAACTGTTCTTACAGCTTAAATTAATCCATTTCCATTAATCTATACCTTGCCACATGGCTTGTGGCTTACCGGCATCTTCACATGCTGTTTCTCATCATGGCGGCTGGCAGTGTCTCTCTTTTGCCTTTCTGTTCTCTCAATTTTCCTCTCTGTTAGTCCCGCCTATACTTCCTGCCTGGCCACTGGCCAATCAGTGATTTATTTATTGACCAATCAGCAACACATTTGACATACAGACCATTCCACAGCACATTTCCTTTTGTGGGGGGCACAGACACTTTCTGGACCAACCCGCAGTACCGTCTAAAGCTCCTGGAGGAGGATGATGACCCTGATGACTCGGAGGTGATCTGCAGCTTCCTGGTGGCTCTGATGCAGAAGAATCGTCGCAAGGACCGGAAGCTGGGAGCCAACCTCTTCACCATTGGCTTCGCAATCTACGAGGTATGAAGACTCCACCAGCTCCAGCACAGGAAACACACCTTTCCAGTGGGGAGAACTGAGAGTTTCCAGCAGGACCCTCTGGCTTTTCTTGTCCTCAGGAACCACCAGGGCTCCTGTTCTCAGGCCCACACGTTTGTTAGCCGCATAAATGTCATGGGGGCATTGGGTCTGACTGGGCCTGGCAGGGTGGTAGCAGGAGTTAGAGTGTATAGTTACTCTACAGTTGCTGGCATTCCCATCTGCCAACTCTGTACCCTCATTCACATCAGGGCTGTTGTTTTTCTATTTTGTTTCCAGGTTCCCAAAGAGGTATAGCAGTGGCAGTGGCCGGCAGTGGTGTGCAGCATTCGTTGGGGGTCCTAAATCTGTCTGTGGCTCCCAGAGAAGCTTCCTGGTAGGGTTGATGAGCAAGGCTGATAGGAGGGTACCGTACCCCATAATGTGCATTTTCTCCCTTCCAGCAGGATACCCTGCCCATCAAACACACAAACCTTCACACACTCATTCTCTCACACTCGTGCAAGTATACACTCACAGAGCCATGATCTAAAGGTTGCTGCTTTCTAGGATAGGGGACTCACCTCCTTCAGAACCCAGTCAAGGTCCTTCCCCATCTTTGGGGCACTTGTCAACCAGAGGGATTTGGAGTGGAGGATCATCAGTTCTGGTGAGTGGTCCTGTCTAGGGAAAGTATAGACCTGACCTTCATTTCTAAATCACAAAGGAAGGGGAAGTGAGATCCGGAATGCCCGTGACACTGAGCAATCGGAGGCCTTGGGAGTTGGAAGTTGGTACATGAAGATTGTGAAGTGAATGCCCGAAGAGTTAGGAAGGAGCCCTTGCAGGGGACTGTGAGGGGTCCAGGCAACCCTCCCAGGGGCTCGGGTGTCTTGGCTTCTTGTCCTCAGATGCACGGGAATAAGCAGCACCTGCAGAAGGACTTTTTCTTGTACAACGCCTCCAAGGCCAGAAGCAAAACCTACATCAACATGCGGGAAGTGTCCCAGCGCTTCCGCCTGCCCCCCAGCGAGTACGTCATTGTGCCTTCCACCTATGAGCCCCATCAGGAGGGGGAATTCATCCTCCGGGTCTTCTCTGAAAAGAGGAATCTCTCTGAGTGAGTACCAGCCTGACTCTCCCTACCTGCCCCTTAGAGGTCGCTCATCTGGCCCATCCTATAGCCCAGAGGCAGCTGGACCAATTTCCTTCAGGGCTCCTGGGACATACCTGCTGACCTCTGCCATCCTCCACTCCTGAGCCGTTGCTCCGTTTCCTTCACGCGTTTGATTACTTCCTGCAGCACTGGCCATTAAACCCAGGGCCTCGTGCGTGCCAGGCAAGCACTCTGTCATGGCTTTCATCTTCCTCTTTTGAGACAGGGTTTAACTGAGTGTCCCAGGCTGGCCTTGAACTCACTCAGTTTGGCCTCGAACCTTTGATCCTCTGATCCCAGCCTCCTAAGGAGTTGCAATTATAGCCCTGTGGCACCAGAGTAACCCACAAAAATGGATTCACTCCATTCATCCTGCAGGTATTTCTTGAGCACCCACTGTGCCCAAGTACTCTTTTAGGGGCTGGGTTTAGTGAAGTGAATTATACAGAAGATTTGCGGCCTTCATGGAGCTTCACACTTCAGGGACAGTGGACAAGGAAACACTGTGACATTTTAGAATTAGAGAAATGATCAGCAGCAAAAATAAAGCAGAGTAGGTATAATGGACATTGATGGTTGTTGAAAAGCCAGGGAAACCAGCAAGGCTGCACCTCTGCCTTTGGCCACAGATGCATTGGTAGTCTCTGACACTTCGGAGGGATGCAGGGAGGAGGTAACTGGGCTGTGATCTGTGGGAGCTCTGACAACACCAACAAGTGGCCGTGCTCCTGTGCTTTGCTGGGGATGTTGCTTACAGGGGGGTGGCTCCCAGGTGAATGTGTAGTCTCAGGGTTCTTTCAGATTTACTCTCACCGTGACCACCAAGAAGCCATGTGGCCTGAACAAATTCTTGGAGAGCTTCCTGCTTCCTCTGGGGGTAACTAAGACACCTGAGTGCTTCCTGCTTGGTCCGGGGGTACCGAGACACTCAATGTTTGTGTTTTTCACAGGGAAGCTGAAAACACAATCTCTGTGGATCGGCCAGTGGTAAGTGGCAAGGCTCTTAGATGTGAGACAATCTGGGGTGGCAGGGGAGGGAGGGAGCATCACATTCCCAGCCCAGGCAGGGGCAGGTGGTGGTGGGGAGAGTGGGTATTAGCAAGGGCAGTCTAATGTGCAGGGCAGAAGGAAAATGATTCTTCCATTGAAGAACCATTTGGCCAGTCAGAAGCTGGGGAGTGTGAAGAGGAGGACGTATAGCCGTGGCAACGGTGGCTAACATTGGGTTATGAGATTGGGTCACATCTGATTTCTCGCACAGAGAAAAGGAAGTGTGCTGGGCTCAGGACCCAGAGTCAGAACCTGGATCATTCACCTCCCACCTTGGTGACCTAGACAAGTTACAGAACCCCTCTGACTCAGTTTTCTACTCTGCAGAAGGGGATAATAATGCTGCCCTGGCCACGCTTGTGGGGTTTCAATCAATAAGGTCCCACATGTGGAATGCCGGGGCAGTGTGAGCACCCCACGGTATTTCCAAGCGCTCCCACACGTGGAATTCTGGGGCAGCATGTGCACCCTACGGTATTTCTAAGCGCTCCCACACGTGGAATGCTGGGGCAGCATGTGCACCCCACGGTATTTCCAAGCGCTCCCACATGTGTGGTTTGCATCATTCTTTCGAACATTCTGAGAAGTAGATGAGGTTTTCATCTCAGCTTTTCACAGGAGAAGGTGGTGGCTCAGTTAGATGGCTTCCTTGCATTCCCAGAGGCAGGAAGTGGCAGGCAGGGAGGCTAAGAACTCAAGTTCCGATTCTCTTATCTTCTGGCCTACAGAAGCACAGAATGTGTGTGTGGTGTGTGTGTGTGTGTGTGTGTGTGTGTGTGTGTGTGTGTGTGTGTGTGTGTGTGGAGGGGTGGACTGAGGGTTCTCAGGTCTACTGTGGAGCTTTGGGCTGTTCTCAGTGGGTGTGACTTGAGTCAGGACAAATATCCTACTGGGCGTCTTCATGTAGTGACTTCCATGATCATAATGCTGACTAGTGCTAGTGTGGGAACCAGACACCTTCCTAGCCACTGCACATCTCCTTTCAGTGTTAGGTGTACCTTGCTCTTCTAAGCAAGAAGAGCAAAGCTCTTCTTTCCTTTGGATGCTGGATCAGTGTGGAGTTGTATCAGGACACTTGAGTTGCACACTCAAGACTTCATGGACTAGGGGCGTGGCATCCACAAGGCCCTAGACTCAACTCTAGCACAAAGGGGAGGAGGGTGGCTCATAGGAGCTGGCATGTCCCGTGAGTACAGCAGGTCAACGTAGGGATTCTAGTGTCCCTACAGAGCTGTGTTTGCCAACGGCTTTTCAGTGACACTTGACTTCCGTATTAGAGGGACAGCAGGGCTCAGCTGACTGTTGCCACAGGAAATGGCAGCCCAGTGTAATTGCCAAGCCTGGTTTTACAAAGGAAGCCCCCACACCCGGAAACTCACATTAAATCTCCCTGTTAAATGTCCGCCTAAATAGTAAAACAAAATCTCTTTAAGCAAACTCATTTTCACACAGGTTCGAGTGAGTCACATTTTGATAACCAATTTTATTTTTTAAAGACTGGGGAGGTCCTTTTCCATCCCAGCAGTGGATAGGCAAAACAAAGCATAGCAACTATGTCTCTCTTTATTTTGGAGTGTTTCAAGACAGGGTTTCTCTGTGTGTAGTTCCGGTTGACCTGGAACTTTCTGTGTGTGTAGAACAGGATGGCTTCTCCTGAATGCTGGGGTTAAGGGTGTGCGCCACCACCTGTCAGTCTCTTGATATGGAGGGAGAATGCTCTTTTTTTTTTTTTTTTTTTTTTGGTTTTTCGAGACAGGGTTTCTCTGTGTAGCTTTGCGCCTTTCCTGGAACTCACAGAGATCTGCCTGTCTCTGCCTTCCAAGTGCTGGGATTAAAGGCATGTGCCACCACCGCCCGGCTTTGGAGAATACTCTTTAAAAATTGTGTTTTATAGCCAGGTACCAAAACTACATGGAGAAACCCTGTCTTGAAAAACAAAACAAAAAACAAAAAAACAAAAACAAAAACAAAAAAAGTGTCTATTATCTGTGTATGCTGTGGCAGTCAGTTCTCTTCTTTTACCATGTGGGTCACACTTGGTTGTCAGGCTTGATGGCAAGTGCCTTGACCCACTGAGCCATCTCACTGGCCTTCGTACCCTTTTAAGCTCCAATTGCTCACAGTATCTGGACCCCAGAGCCTCGAGCACTGGCTATCCTAGAAACTTGATTTTCACCTATTCCCCATTTACTGTTTCCGTTTCTATGCAGAAAAAGAAAAAAAACAAGGTGGGTATAACAGGGTGAGTGGGCAGGGCACCATGCATGCATGGTTGTGTGTACATGCTTGCATGTGTGTGTACATATGTGGCATGTATAAGATGTGCTTCTTCCTTCTCTCCTTGGAGCCTCTGCCGGGCTGGGTGCTCTTCGGGTGCTTGTCATGTGTCACTGCAATCTCACACTAATCCCAGGACAGTGATTCCGTTATCAGTCCTGCTTTTAGGGGAAGAAAATGTATAGACAAACGAGTCTTCCTGGGGCCACACAGCCAGAGAGAGACATAGGTGGCCCTGGAGCCAGGCGGTCTCCCACAATCTGTGCTCTCAAACGCCACAGGCATCAGACAAGGTTTGGTGCGGGTGCTCATGGTGGTCCTGGGAATCTATCGCAGAGGTTCTAGCGTGGGTGCTGGTCCAGACCAGAGGGAACATATACTCCGTGCTGTGCTTGTAGCAACCCGTAGTCCTTCCCCCATATAATAGCATCTACAACATAAGTACTGTTTATGCTTTTCAAAAGTAAGGGTTCACGTTCAGAGAAGTGAAGTGATGTGCCCAAGGGCACTCATCTAGCAAGTAGGGACGCTGGAACCAGGACCATATATGTCTACTCTGAGACAGTCTTTGTCCTTACCTCCCCAGTGCCCCTTACACTCCAAGGCCTGTGTTGTCAAGACCTGCATGTGAGTCTCTGTATGGCTGGCAGGCAGAGCTGCCATGGCTGTGCCCTGTCCACTGGTGCCCTCTATCGCTTCCGTTTGTTCAGAGATCCCCACAAGCTTTATGTGCTTGGGCAAGAGCTGTTGTTTAGAAGAGCATGCTGGGGTCTAAGGAGCCTTCTGGAGCCAAGGCTGGCGGAGCTGTTTTCCCATGTGTCCCCTTGGATGACCTAAACAGCATGGGAGGACAGTGGGGCCTCCCCAGTCAGGCTGCTTTTGAAAATCACTGATGTACATCATATGCTTTCAGCGTTCTTAGAATTTTTTTTCTGTTTTTTTTTTTTTTTTTCAAGACAGGGTTTCTCTGTGTAGTTTTGGTGCCTGTCCTGGCTCTTGCTCTGTAGACCAGGCTGGCCTTGAACTCACAGAGATCCACCTGGCTCTGCCTCTCAAGTGCTGGGATCAAAGGCGTGCGCCACCACTGCGCGGCCCTTAGAATTTTTATATGTACTACTTTGTACTATCATGAGGAGAAATGCATGTGGTAAAATAATGGACCCATTGACTTTATACAGCACATTAATAAATTTTTAAAAATATGAACAAAAGTGAGAAAGAACTGAGATTCGAGCCAAGCATGATGTACTCAAGATTAGCCTGGGCTCCATAGTGAGACTCAGCCCCAAACAAAACACACACACACACACACACACACACACACACACACACACAGGACCAGAGAGGCTTGGCATCTCTCCCCCAGTCACACAGCTTGTCAGTGCAGAGATGGAACTTGAACTGAGACTCAGGAGCGCCTGAGTGTGACCATTTCCTCCTCCTTGGACAAAGCTGTTCCAGGGGGGAGGCTGCCTCTTGTGCCTATCAGCTTGTAATCCTTGCTTCCTTCCTGCCCTCCCCATTCCCCTCCCCTCCCTAGCCCATCATCTTCGTTTCAGACAGAGCAAACAGCAACAAGGAGCTGGGTGTGGACCAGGAGGCAGAGGAGGGCAAAGACAAAGCAGGGCCCGATAAGCCAGGGAAAGCCCCACAGGTTTCTGAGCATGCGCCATGGGTGGGCCGTTTTGCTCGAAGCGGGGCTCTGCTATGCTCTAGGGGTCCACTGGGGCTATGGCGGCTCCCAGGGAGGGTCTCTTCAACATCGAGGGGTTTGGAATCACCACGCTGACCTCTTTGCTCTCAGCAAGTTCCTTTGAACTTTGGGGTACTTCTCGGGTGAATGCCTTAGGTCGGCTGCCACACCAAACTAGTCCTGGGATGGGAGTGATAGGAGAGCCTGCTGGAGCTTCTCTAGTCAGGACAACAGAGCACGGGGAGACAAAGGCTGAGAGAAGCCTGCTGGAGAGAGCGAGGCTGACCTGTCCTCAGTTCAGAGTTGTTGACGAGGACGGACAAGGACGGTAGCCGGAAGGGGGGTCTGACAGCAGCCACGCAGTCCTGCAGAACTTGGGGGCCATGTGCTCTACCCGCGAGCATCCACGTAGTGGGCTGGGGAGAGGGTCCTTTAAGGACTTGGCCGCAAAGACAGAGGTGGCTAGAGGACCTGGCTGGAATAGTCAGGCTCAAAACAGTAGAGAAAGTTCTATCTGGAGAAGAGTGGGGGAGGATCGAGGATGCTGTCTGCATGTCGGCATGGCGAATGTGTCCTTCGGCCTGAGGTGCCAGGGCTAGAGAGGCAGAGAGTGGGGAGCCGCTGAGCTCAGGCTCAGCAGGTAGTCTGAGAAAATGAGCCTGTGCCAGCTACTGCCACTTTGTGGGGCTGTCTGGGAGTGAGGCCTGGGTTCCCATGTCTCCGTTGTGTCCCCACAGGCACGGCCTGGCCACACGGACCAGGAGACTGAGGAGCAGCAACAGTTCCGGAACATCTTCAGGCAGATTGCAGGCGATGTACGCGTTTCCCTCCTAGCCTAGAGCTCCCAACGCAAGAGACTCACCGTTTAGCAGAAGGCATTTTGGTTTGGGGGAGCCAGAAGATGTGTATCACATCAAAGAAACCCGTGCCTTTGGGTCGGGGACTAACACCAGCACTGGGTGGCGCAGAGCCTTGTGGTTATGAGCGGCTCCTTGCGGTCTGTACAGCTGAGGGTGTGGAAACTGGCCTGTCTTGCCCAGAAAAGCCCCAGCTTCCCATGGCAGAAGACAGGGGATCTTACAAGGGTGGACAGCTGCGACTTGTCCACTGGTTGCTCTGCCCTTCACAATTTTCCTCTCCCTCAGGACATGGAGATCTGTGCTGACGAACTCAAGAACATCCTTAACATGGTGGTGAACAAACGTGAGCCGCTCATGCCAGATGCGGGGGATGGGCAGGGGCCGCAGCTGTCTGAAAGCAGCTCCTCACCCTTCTCCATCCCCCCAGACAAGGACCTGAAGACACAAGGGTTCACGCTGGAGTCTTGCCGAAGCATGATAGCTCTCATGGATGTATCCTTTCTGCCACCATCCCCAATCCTCTTACATCTGCCCACAGAGCCAGGGGAACAATTGGGGGTGGCCATGCCTAGGGAAAGACTTAAGGGGATCTTGACTCAGACAATCGGGCTGACAGGGGTGGTTAGGGAAGGATACTGGGTTTTGGCTGGTCGTCATCTCCTGTCTTACTGCAGGCCTGAAATCCTACTTGGGATGCTGCCCAAACAAGGATTACTTGGGGGGCAGGCTCTGTGGGCTATAGAGATGGTAGGAACTCTGATTAAGAATGAAGGGGAAGGATAGAATCTGGGATCAGGAGTCCCGGTAGAGGATACTGGTTGCTCTGCCTTCCCTGCATGGTATCCTAGATACTCCTCCCAGTTCAGGGGGATCTTACTATGTGCCTGTGGCCCTGACATCCATCCTCCAGACAGATGGCTCTGGGAGGCTGAATCTGCAAGAGTTCCATCACCTCTGGAAAAAGATCAAGGCCTGGCAGGTAGGATGAGAGTCTAATGTGGGAGTGATGGACAAGGTTAACTTGGGATTAAGTGTGTAACTGCTATCTTTGAATTTCCTATTTTCAGAAAATCTTCAAACACTATGACACAGACCATTCCGGCACCATCAATAGCTATGAGATGCGAAATGCAGTCAATGATGCAGGTGCTGTGGGGAAGAGGGTAGAGGATGCAGACCCAAGAGCTGGGGAGAGCAGGAGGGGATGGGAGACTAGACTACTAGGGCCCTGTTAGAGAAAGGGGGGGGGGGGGCTTCTTTCCCAAGCCAGTGTGGCCAGGAAGGGGAGAAGGGAGACTGCAAAGCCCGAGAACTTCACTCCCCTTTCCTCTCCCTGTACTTCCAAGGCTTCCACCTCAACAGCCAACTCTATGACATCATCACCATGCGCTATGCAGACAAGCACATGAACATCGACTTTGACAGTTTCATTTGCTGCTTCGTCAGGCTGGAAGGGATGTTCAGTAAGTGTCTTAAGGTTTCTATTGCTGTGAAGAGACACCATGACCGTGGCAACTCTTACAAGGAAACATTTCATTGGGGCTGGCTTACAGTTCAAAGGTTTAGTCCATTATCATCATGGCAGGAATCACGGCAGCATGCAGGCAGACATGGTGCTGGAGAGGTAGCTGGGAGTTCTATATCAGGATCAGCAGGCAGCAGGGAGAGAGAGTGACATGGGGCCTGGCTTGAACATATGAAACCTCGAAGCCCACCCCCAGTGACACACGTCTTCCAACAAGGCCACACCTCCTAATAGTGCCACTCCCTATGGGCCTATAGGGGCCATTTCCATCCAAATCACCACAGTGAGTGAGAGGCTGGCTACCCTTCAGCTCTCTCAACCCCTTTCCCCATGGCACAGCTCTGGCAGTAAGAGCTCAGCCTGACAATTGCCCAGTCTCCTGCACTGAGGCTGCATATCAGTCATTAGTCTCCGTAGGCCAAGAAAAGGATGGCAAAGGGAGAGATGCGGGTTATGTTCCGCATGGATTTGTGTGGAAGGACAGCACTCAGCACAGGGGCTTCCTAAATTACAGATCTGAGCACTCAGATCATGCTCACTTGTGACCCAGCAGGTACTAGAGGTAGGAGGATAGACCTTAGTTCAGTAATATAAGGGCTGGCAAGACGACTCAGCAGAATGTGTCTGATGACTTGAGTTCAATGGCCGAAACCCAGGAGGCGGAAGGAAAGAACCAATTTCAGAGTTGCCCTCCAACCTCTACATGTGTTCTGTGGTATGTGCCCACATGCACACACAATAATAAATTCTTTAAAAAGCAAACACGAGCAAACTAAGCCAAAACCCAAGGAGGGTGCAAACGATGGTGGCGGAGGTAGTGACTGGCTTTTGGCCTATGCTTTCTTTCACACAGGAGCTTTTAACGCATTCGACAAGGACGGAGATGGCATCATCAAACTGAATGTTCTCGAGGTAAGCATAACAAACAGCACATCCTCCGCACCATCAAACCCAAGGTGAGGTCAGCGAGGCAGACTGGATCCAGTGTGTTCCTCACTCCCAGGACAGGAGCTCGAAAGGGAGCCTAATGAAGACTGTGGTTCCTGGGGAGATGAATGGGGGGGTACCTTGAGAGCTTTGCCCCCCCCCCCAAGTTGCAGTGCCAGAAAACACTTTCCTAGAAAAGACCCAGGGAAAAGGAGCTGTTTGCTCTTTTTAAGAACCTTCGCTTGCCCCCTTATCCCCTTCCCAATGCAAGAGATCCTAGAGCTGACAGGCCTCTGTAGCAAGAATCTTAAAAGTCCTTATTAATAAAATCAAACCTGAGGCCAAGTGCTGGGGTTAATACTGGAAGATCAGAGAGACAGAACAAGCCACAGCTAACCTCACCTGGCCAACTTCTCAGCTGATCTTTTTTTCTCAGACTGGAAGCTTCTATGTCCTCATATCCAAATGGCTCTCAGCTGAACTGTGCTGCTTAAAGCCTAAAAGCTTAACCAGCCAAATGCTTCTAGTTTCTGGTCCTCATGCCTTATATATCTTTCTGTTTTCTGCCATCACTTCCTGGGATTAAAGGCATGTGTCACCATGCCTGGCTGTTTCCAATGTAGCCTTGAACTCACAGAGATTGAGGGATTTCTGTCTCTGGAATGCTAGGATTAAAGGCGTGTGCTACCACTGGCCTAACTTCTGTTTAATATTGTGGCTGTTCTGTCTCTGACCCCAGATAAGTTTATTAGGGTGCACAATATTTTGGGGAACACAATACCACCACAGGCCTCTTTGCATGCTTTTGTACTGATCTGGGGCTTCCTCTTTCAGTGGCTGCAGCTTACCATGTATGCCTGAACCAGACAGGCCTCATGCAAGATCAACCAAGATTCCAACCCAACCCAACCCAGCTAGAGCCATTTACCACGAAGAATCCAGCGGCTGCACCTCCACAAAACCTAGGAGGCTTCTGGCCTTGTTCCTTCTCCACTCTGCCCCCAATCTCGGTGCCCAGCCTGGTGCTTGGGAGAACTCTCTTTGCCACCGGAAGGCTAGTGTCTGCCTGAGCTAGGTGCGGCCTCACTGGGCGGTCTGCTGATTCTGAATTGCCCACTTAGCTTGCACGGGGCTGTCCACAGCACCAGCTAATGGTACTCACTCATACAGGAACCCAGTCACCAAGTCTGCACTCAGTTCTGCCAGTTTCAGGATGGGTTTACTCTGGGGTAAACAGGGCTGATGCTTGGAGATATCTGACAAAAATTTGGCTGCATTCTAAAAAAAGTTAAATAAAGGCACATGTATGGCTGATTCCATTGTTTTCTTTATTAACATTTCTCAGCCACAGCACGACTGTCTTTCAGCCATACTTTCATATAGCACCTCCATAAAGACCTAGTTTGGGGCTAGGGAGATGGTTCAGTGGGTAAAGGGGTATGCAAGCATGAGGACCCCAGGGTGGATCCCTAAAAGCCAAGCATGGTAGCTCACACCTGTAACTCCAGTACTGCAGAGCCAAGACAGAGGATCTCTACAGGTTTTTTGGCCAGCCCGTCTAGCAAAAGGGACAATGTCTGGTGAGAGCCCGTCTCAAAAAATAAGGTAGAAGGACTGGGGCAATGGCTCACTGGGTAAAAATGCCGAGTCTGGATCCCCAGCACCCACATAAATGTAAATGCCTGTTGGAGTGATCACCCACCTGTAATCCCATCCCAAGAGAGACAAAGAAAGGATCCCTGGCAAACTGATCAGCTAGACTAGGTGGCTTGGCAGGCTCTGGGTTAAAGAGACCTGGCTTCGGCGTCAAAGGTGGAGAGTGATCCAGGAAGACAGTTATCAACCCGACCTCCACAAGCATGCACACACCACATGCACACAAAGGGAGATAGAGGAAAACACCCAAAGTCAGTCTGACCTCCACACCTGCACGAATTTACACAACACCAAGAAAACCCTGTTTAGTCTATGGATATACCTGACTGTCCAGTATTGGAAGGGATGTGTCTGGCTAGTGTATAAATCGAGAAAAGCTCTAGTTCCAGGATAAGATGATGGGGAATACATATGGAACCAAAGGCTTGAGTCCCACTGAAATCACGCCTCCTCCGACCATTCCTCTTCTTATTGTAATCTTGGTTTATGTGGACCATGAAAGCTTTGCCACTTTCATGTCTGAGCAGCTCATGTCTGCCTGGTGTCTGTGGGGGCAGAAGAGGGCACCAGGTTCCCTAGGACTGGGAGCTAGAGATGGCTGTGAGAGCCATGTGGGCACTGGAACCACGGCCAGGTCCTCTGGAAGAGCAGCCAGTGCTCTTAACCCCTGAGCCAGCCCTCCAGCCTCACTACTGCTAGTTCTTGAGCTCAGGGACCACTCAGATCGTTTCCAAGATTGCTGGTGTGGAACAAACACATAGGGGCAGTAGAAGGAGATGAATGGGGGCGGTGATCAAAGTACACTGTATGTGTGAAATAAACTAATTTTAAGTCAAATAAATGGGTAACACGATGGGCCAGTGATTTTTTTTTTCATCCTAGCTCCTCTGCTCACTGGCCTATCTAACATTAAAACAACCCCTGACCATGAGTTTAATCTAGACCTTGGGTGGGTCTGTGGCACAGATACAATAAGCACCATGTTTCCTGCCCACTGTCTTGTTCTTTATGCCAAAATGGAAAAGGCTGATCACGAAAACACAAAGTAACAAAATGAACACTTAGTAAAAGTACTTCATTCTCTTCTTGTATTTGCTTTATATCTCGCTTACAAAGTTATGAAGTTCACAGCTTTTATACCAAAATGTAAGAAGGCTGTTTAGAAATAATTTTGCAGTCAAATTTCACCTGACATTTCTTCTAATCCATGTTTAGTATTGAAATACAGTAAGAAACCAAGGTGCTGGGCAGCTCTGGGTGTCTACTTCCCCCCACAGCCTTTCCTTCGCTACCCTCTGCCAGCACTGGGCTGCTTCTGGGCTGGCCTGGGCCATGTCCTTGGGGTTGGAGGTGAAGACAAGGCTGTTGTATGGTAAATGGTAGGTTAATTTACATAAGGTTTCACACACATCTGCATATGGAAGTGTGACCCAACACACCCCCACCACAGCTTCCTCCTTTCCTGACTATCAGGCCACCTCCCTGAAACCCAACATTCTCAGTGACAGGACAGAGATGAAGCCACCACTTAAGTATGCCAAGTACAGCCTTACAGTAATTCTAGAACTCTCCTTCAAGCAACAGGAACAAATTTGCTAAGTAAGCATATGCAAACTGCAGCTATTTAAGCAAACCACAAGGGAGGTGTTGTTCAAACCCTACTTCACGATATTCTTCAATTTCCTTCCCAATGAATTATCTTCCATAAAATAATACTGTGTCATTCTTGTAAGTGTGACCTACATCCAGCAGCTCAGCCACATGCCCATGCACTGAAACTGTCCTATACATAAATCTACTCGAAAACAACAAAACCTTTGTTGGCAACAATCACTTCAATCCTAAAAGTACTGGCTTGGATTCACTGTAGTCCAGGAATTCAAATTTTCAAGGGCAAACTCTCCCGAATAAAACGTCTTCCCGACAAGAGCAGTGCTAACAGCGACTCCTCGGACTTAAGTGATGTCAGGACACATTTTGCCATTTTTTTATTTGCATTGTTTACAATTGAGCAAAGTATGCCAAAATGTGTTTTGAACCTAAGTGAAAACTTTAAAAAAAAATTGAAAGTGGCTGGTTATTTTATTAGAACCGTTATTGTAAACACAAAAGGATTTTTTAAGATTTTCTTTGCTTTGAGCTGCTGGTCTAGGCATAAAGAATTTAAAAATAAAAATGACCTGCAAGTACTCCTTAGAAATGTCTTGGGTTTTGGAGGTTATTTATTAGTCACTTTCCTTCTCCTTCAAATTACCCAACCAACGAAAGTCAGCACAGACCCGAGCTGCCCCTTCTGAGGGGAACTGGAGGCTGATCATGAAGGACCAACATAATGAACAACTTAAGAGGCAGTCACAGTCTGTCTCCACAGGCAGCCACTGCTGAGGAGCCAAGAAACCCGGGCTCTTCATTCTCAGTGCAACCCTAGACCGCTCAACCTGGAGAACAGAGATCTGATGCCCCAAACAATTCCACCTCTTCTTGAAGTCACCACACTGCTTCAAAGAAAGCCCTGTGAAATGAGGAGACCCCGGTGCAAGTGCCCCCGACACTCGGGCAAGCAGGCAGAGGCATGCACACAATGGTACCAAGGGAAACTCAGTTCCTACTAATCGTCGGCTGCAAGCCCTTAGGCCCTCAAGCGTCCTCACCACTGGTCAACACCTTACATTCTTCTTCCCTGCTGCACACGGCCCCTCCACTCCCATCCCTTCCTACATTCCCTTGGGCGAACGGGGAACCTGTGCTTCCTCAGCACACTGCTCTGCCAATGTGGAAACTTGAGATGCCGTAGCTCAAAGAATAATGCAGGTTTAGCAATAAACCCAAGTGAACTTTCCTAAGAAATCACTTCCCAGACCCACAGAAGTGTGGCTCCTCTGGTCACCCTTACAGAAAATGGAGGTGAGAGGTCGGAAAGGTTTTCAGTCTTACACAGAAATAGCATAAATATGCTTTGTCAATAAAAGCCCAGCATCACACAATGGTTCTCTTCACATCTAAGCCATGTGGTTAACAAAAGTTTTCCTACACAATAGGCCACATGTGAACAGCCACTCATTTGTGGGTCACTCATGAGCCCCTAGATTTGTTCTTAACATTTTCTGGATCCAGTAAGAACTACTGGAACCATTCCTAGGGGAAAACAAAAAAGACATACTTAGTCTTTTGTGCAATTTCAGAGGATTCACAGACTGACTTGAAGCCTATCCATCAATCCCTGGCAGAGTTGCCCTGCCCAGAGCATATGAGGAGGTTTGATCAGGCCAGGTACAAAAACAGAGTCTGCAATCCTAGCACCAGAAAGCATTGCATCCTGAAGCTAGGGTATGTGCCGTGACAGACCTCTCCCTCTGAAGAACCTGAGTTTTGAGAACTCAGAAACAAAATATTAGGAAGTAACACTTGTTTAGTTTTACATACAAGTCTTGAGAAAATCCAGGCACAAAGCAATCCTACTAAGGCATGTGACATGGGCACTCCCAATGGCTGCCTTTCTGTCACCATACTCCACTTCCTTAGCTGGCATGAATGTAAAGGCAGACACTGCTTCAGAAGTTATTCTCTGAAGGCCTGCTTGATGTCCTGTCAGCTGAATCCAGATGCTCATCCCAGCTCCCCTATCTAGGGTGCTGCGAGTAGGCTGAAAGCTGCCCCCCTGCCCCCCTGCCCCCCTGCCCGCCCGCCCCCGGCAGCTCCCTGCACCACTGCTCTAGGCACAGCAAGACAATAAGAGATGGGGGCTGGTAACAGGGCAACCCAAAAGGCGTCAAGGCTCCATGAGGCTCCGAGAGCCAGAAGATGGAAAGAGGATAAAGGTATGCCTTCCGTTCAAGCAGCCAGTGAGTGCAGAGGGGAGGGAGGCACCCCACTGCGCACTCTGGAGCAATTTACTGGTAAATGCTGTCTTTAGGGACTGGCCGTCGTAGAACTTGTCCTAAGTCTAAACTACGGCAAGCAGAGCAGCTGGCCGATTCTCAGGCCTCTACACATTTCCTTTTGTACCTACAGCCAGCTTTATCCATCTACAGAGCACTTCATAGTGAAACACTGCACATAATTATTAAAAAAAGAAAACGATTTGCTTCAAATTTAAATACCCAGTTATTTCAAAAGGAGGAATTATAACCGATCCTGAAAAACCTATCATAAGCCATCATAAGACATAAAGCAGAAATGACAAACTGAATCAATAAAATATGTGTATGATTAGGATCAAACTGGGTAACCAATTAATATCTGAATCTTTAATAAACACCTATAGTCTAGTAGCATAAATCTCTGTATGTCATCTCTCCCAGAAGAGTATGGTATGGTTCCTTAGAATCCACTTAACCTTACATGCTCCAGCAGACTTGATTTGTATGTAACCTATCACCCCACGGACTGCCCCGACTTTGCTAGCGGTAGGTCTGGCTGTGAACCACTTTCTCCTTCCCAGCTTCACTGGAGAGGGACAGAGTGGCCTGTGCGAGGGGCCAATGTGAAGAGAGTTCACAAATAACTTCCCAACATGGGAGGCAAAACACTTCACGAATCCATTTTGCTTTCATCTTCAGCATGCCGCTCGATATGTCCTGCAACGTCCTGGGGGAGAAGGAGAGGACTGTGAGAAACAAACAGGTCGCAGGGCAGGGAAGTTAAAGTGAGGAACACAGAACTGGGTTGTACAGACGTCAGGGGCGGTGGCGCCAGCCTCCTGCTAACCCACAGCAAACTATCCACCTAGAGATGACATCTCCCTTAGCACAAGCGCACAAACCTGAAGACTCTGCTTAACTTCTTTATGAAAAACAGCCCAATTATTGTTTTGAAAATCTTGTTTAAATCCCAAATTCTTGAGTAATAAAAAGAAAAATTCCCAGCCCCTCTCTATTTATCGCAATCCTGAACACCTTAAAAAGCAAACTGGGCTTGCTGGTCTTTGCTCTAAGTCAACGGTTCTCAACCTATGGGTCAACACCCCTTTGGGGGTCCAACAACCCTTTTACAGGGGTCACATATCAGATATTTACATTATGATTTATAACAGTAGCAAAATTACAGTTATGAAGCAGCAACGAAAATAATTTTATTTTTGGGGGTCACCACAGCATGAGGAACTGTATTAAAGGACCGCAGCGTTAGGAAGGTTGAGAACCACTGCTCTAAGGTATCTGCTAAGCCCAGGCTGATCCAATCCCATAATACCTGCTTGGATCCTCTCCTAGCTGTGAAAAAAGCATCACAGTTCTTCCAGCGACATTTCAGTGTCTGAAAGTTCCGATTAGTGTGGTCAGTCAGCAAATGTTGTTTTAAGTGATCCACAACACCAAATATCAGAGTGCAGCCATGCCACTGTAAGAAAGGATGAGGGTCCATGAAGAGGAGCACAGAAAACACATAGAGATGTGTGCACACACAAACACCTTCTTCCTCTCTCGCTACGGCAGCTCTGGCTGGCCTAAACCTGCCAGGGAGACCAGGCTGGCTTTGAACTCTCAGAATCTAGCTGCCTGTGTGGAGATTAAATGATGTCCCACTATGCCCAGCTAGAGCATGTCCTTTATCTTGTATCATAAAATAAAATTTGCTACATTTATTTTGTAATCTTTTTTTTTTTTTTGGTTTTTTGAGACAGGGTTTCCCTGTTTAACAGTTCTGGCTGTCCTGGAACTTGTTTTGTAGACTCGTAATCCATTTTTTTCCCAAAGGCAAGCAGCTTTCCTATAACATCGAAAGGAATATATTTAACAACTCTAAGAATCATGAAACTAAACTACAAAGCGATACAAGCTGTGACTAGTGGGGCCCACCTGCAATTCCAGTACTCGGGAGGTAGAAGTGGGAGGATCAGGAGTTCAAGACCAGCTTTGGCTACACAGTGGGTGGGAAGTCAGCCAGTATGGGCTACATGAGACAGCTACCTGCTGTGGAAGTCTGACTTTTAAAACTCACACCTCTACTGCTTGAATCACAATCTTTTACTTACCCACTTAAAATAAAATGTAGTTTTCCGTAAATATGTGCCTCAATCTCATGTATTACTCATGAAGCACAAAGCTTCTGTTCTTGCTTCTAAACCTTCAGCCTTGTAATGAACATTATGTCTGCCAGTTCCGGGATGTCACTTAAGTTTTAGTTAGCATGTATTAATTATGCACAGAGGGTTTTATTATGTCATTCTCACACACATATACAATGTATCTGATCATCTCCTCACACTCTCCTGTGTCCTCCAATCCTGCTGGTTTCTCAACCAGTCTCCCTCCTTCCTCCTTCTCTGCTTACAGCAGTGTTGGCAGAGGTTATCTACACAAGCACGTGGTGAGTGGCTACACCAAAGAAAGTGTCTCTTTCTCCCAGCAATCAGTCACTGCCATTACATCCTCAGAGAAGGATGGCACCTTGAGAGCCCCTCCCTCTAGGATGTTCATTACTAAATAGCAATTAAAATCTGAGGGCTTTTTCCCAGACAGATTATTTCAACTACCTTTGTGTTACAGGTCTAGTCCTCCATTTTGATTACCTTCCCTGAGAATAATGACAAGCAAAGACAGTGATATATACCAGAGCTGAAAAGTAATTAGGCTACAGACAAACCTAGAATCAAACTTGAAAAAGCATCCAACATTCCATTAATTCTGGTAAGGAGGTCAGGGTTTAGGGAAACGAAACCTAGTGCCCTAGCTTCCACGGGTCACCCCCAGTACTAGAACCAACTGAAAACAAGGCCGACAGGGATGGGGCTTAAGTTTTGTGGGCTAATTATTAGTTTCCATATTTTAAGAAAACAATACATTTAGCCCAGTGGGCTAAGTTAAAACTACAAACTTAAAATTCTAAGTTTTTCTTCATTTATCAGAAACCACAAAGCCATAAATTGTTGTAGAATATTATTATGATTATGATTTTCTTTTGGCTTTTTTCGAGACAGAGTTTCTCTGTGTAGCATTTGGAACCTGTCCTGAAACTCACTTTGTAGACCAGGCTGGCCACGAACTCAGAGAGATCCGCCTGCCTCTGCCTCCCAAGTGTTTGGATTAAAGGTGTGCGCCACCACCGCCGCTGCCACCACCTGGCGTAGGATATTATTTTAAGATGTTTTATTACATTTGTTTATGCTGTGGAACATTTGTTTTAATGATGCAAAGATGTGTTGTATTCTTTTATGTTGCATTTGTTTAACTCTGTGAAGCTGTGTTACATTGCCTGTCTTAAAAATCACCTGATGGTCTAATAAAGAGCTGAACAGTCAATAGCAAGGCAGGAGAAAGTACAGGCGGGGCTGGCAGGCAGAGAGAATAATCAGAAGGATAAAAAGAGAGATGAAGGAGTGAGAAAAGAAGGAGCCAGCCACCCAGCCAGACACCGATTAAGAAGGAAAGAAAAGATATAAAGAAATAGAGAAAGGTAAAAGCTCAGAGGCAAAAGGTAGATGAGATAATTTTAAAAAGGCTGGCAAGAAACAAGCCAAGCTAAGGCCAGGCATTCATAAATTAAGAATAAGACTGATTTATTTGGGAGCTGGGTGGTGGGTCCCCCAAAAGAGAAAAGAACAAAGAGCACAGAGTCCAAAGAGTAATAAATACTTATAACACCTGAGAAGGGGAGTGCAAAGTGGAGAGGCTATAACAGCAAGCACACTATTTACTGATTTAGTAACAAACAGACCACCTAGGAGGGGAGAGACTTCTGGGGCAAGGACTGGCCTATCACGTGTGAGGTTTAAAACTTTGGAACTGCAAACAAGACAAAACAAAATCTCACCCACAAACTCCTCAAAACAAAACCAACACCTAGGAGATAAAGTGAGAAGCCACTATTCACAGATCTCATATCAAACTTGATTTTTCAATAAAGAAGTCAAAAAGCAGGCTGGAGAGATGGCTTAGCAGTTAAGAGTACTAGCTGCTACTCTACCAGAGGTCCTGATTTCAATTCCTAGCAACCACATGGTGGCTCACAACCATCTATAATGAGATCTGGTGCCCTCTTCTGGCCCATAGGCATATATGCAGGCAGAACACTGTATACATAATAAATAAATAAATCTTAAAAAAAAAAAAAAAGACTACTTCCTACTTTCTCTTCTATCAGGTTCAGAGTAAATGGATTTATGTTGAGATCCTTGATCCACTTGGACTTAAGTTTTGTGCATGGTGACAGATATCGATCTATTTGCAGTCTTCTACATGTTGACATCCAATTATGCCAGCACCATTTGTTGAAGATGCTTTCTTTTTTCCATTGTACAGCTTTGGCTTCTTTGTCGAAAATCATATGTTCATATGTGTACGGATTAATGTCAAGGTCTTCAATTCGATTCCATTGATCCACATGTTGGTTTTTATGCCAGTACCAAGCTGTTTTTATTATTGTAGCTCTATAGTAGAGCTTGAAGTCAGGGATCGTGATGCCTCCAGAGGTTGTTTTATTGTACAGAATTCTTTTGGCTATCCTGGGTTTTTTGTTTTTCCATATGAAGTTGAGTATTGTTCTTTCCAGGTCTGTGAAGAATTGTGTTGGGATTTGATGGGGATTACACTGAATCTGTAGATTGCTTTTGGTAAGATTGCCATTTTTACTATGTTAATCCTACCTATCCATGAGCATGAGAGATCTTTTCATTTTCTAACGTCTTCTTCAATTTCTTTCTTCAGGGACTTAAAGTTCTTTTCATACAGGTAATGGTTGAGAGAGTGCCTGAGCTGACCTACTCTGGTGATCGGATGGCTGAACACCCTAACTGTCATGATAGAGCTCTCATCCAGTGACTGATGGAAGCAGATGCAGAGATCTATGGCCAAACCCCAGGTGGAGCTCCAGGAGTCCGAATGACAAGAGAAAGGAGGGAATATATGAGCAAGAGATATCGAGACCATGATTGGAAAAAGCACATGGACAAATAGTCAAACTAGTGGAAATGTATGAACTGTGAACCAATAGCTGAGGAGCTTCCACGGAACTAGACCAGGCCCTCTGGATAAGTGAGACAGTTGATGAGCTTGAACTGTTTAGGAGGCCCCCAGGCAGTGGGACTGGGACTTGTCCTTGGTGCATGAGCTGGCTTTTTGAAACCTAGGGCCTATGTATGCTGAGATACTTTGCTTAGCCTTGGTGCAGAGAGGAGGGGACTGGACCTGCCTCAGCTGAATCTACCAGGCAGGGCTGACTCCCCAGGGGAGACCTTGCCTTGGAGGAGGTGGGAATGGGGGGGAAGGGTGGGGGGTGGTAGGAGGGAGGACAGGGGAATCCGTGGCTTATAT